TAAGTGAGTTGGTCCTTTCCCTCTAATTAAAGATTTACGATATTTATTGTTGGGGGTTAATTTGAAGGGTCAATATGAAGGATTATTTTTGGGCATTTTCTTATGAGCAATATATTTTTGTGAGATATAAATCATATATTTATTTAAAATTTTAAGATAATAAGTATGTAAGTTCTTTTATTTATAAATGTTTAAGTCTTTGTATTTTTAACTAATACTAGACTTCTTTATATTATTTGTCTTTTATATTGAGTTATGAATTTTTTAAGGGGTATTATTTAATTGCAAATTAATTGTATTTTTCTATAATTTAATTATAAAAAAAAATGTGAGGTTATGTATTTTAGGCTTAATTGCACATCTTTAAAGACAGCATGTGTGTTTGATTCACAAAATAGTGATTCATCCATTGTATTTGATGATATGATCTGATGATGTGATCCATTGAGCAAACAATTTTGTAGTACACATTTTCTGATGTTTATTTGGTACACATTTTTGATGTCTATGCAATTGACAAAATATTCCATTATGTTCGATGATCCATGCACATGGGCAAAATAATATAATTTATACTGTAATATTTTTTTTATTGATATGCATAGGGAGAGAAAGAGAGGAGAGAGATGATAAAGAGAAAGTATAGGGATGAGAGAGATACAAGAGAAATGAAAGACAGAAATATGAGGTATATTAGAGAGAAGATATATGAAAGAGACATGAGTGATTTGGAGAGCAATGAAAGACTGAAATACGAGGTATATTAGAGAGAGAAGATATATGAAAAGGAAATGTACTGAGTTGGAGAGTAATGAAAGACTGAAATACGAGGTATATTAGAGAGAGAAGATATATGAAAAGGAAATGAATTGAGTTGGAGAGAAATGGAAGACAGAAATATGAGGTAAATTAGAGAGAGAATATGAGTGAGTTGAGAGAGAGATGAGAGTTAAAAGGGGAGAGAATATAGGTATGGAGACATACATAGAAAAGAGATGGAGAGAGAGAAAAGAGATGGAGAGAGATGAGATGAAAATAGTATTTTTTTACTTAGGAAATAAAAAAGAATATTTTGATATATTTTTTGTATCTGGTATGAAAAGTTGTCAAAGGGTAAAAGTGATGGAGACATTTTTTTTTTTAATTTTGTATTTTATTTCTTAAGTTTATCAATTTATAAATCAAACAGAGGTAATAAAAGTGGTTTTGTTCCGTTCCTTATCTTCACTTTATAATCCAATTTAACTTTTTGATGAAGAGTAATGAATGATGAACCACTTTGTAGAATTTTGCAGAATAACATTTGAAAAAATGGACTAGTTGTTTTAAATTGTTTTTAGTAGTAAACTATTAATAATTAATTATTAGTATTATAATTATACTTCAATCAAGATTTAAACTCTAGACCTCCGATATTTTTATTCCCGATATTTTTATTCCTTAGTTTAATTAGTCAGTTGAGCTACTTTCCACTCATTAAATTACTTTGAATTATGTTACTTCTCATTCATAAATAATGTCTTATTTGAATTTTGCATCTATATAAATAAAGAATAAAATTAATTGATTCATTTTTTCAATTTTTAAATTAATTAATTAATTTTTCAAAATTTTTATATTCTATGTTTTCAATCATTTTAAAGTAAAAAAGAAATGCTTGGTTATTTTCTCCATGCATCTCTAATGCTATTGGAGTATATTCTAGTAAAATCTTTTTGCTGTTTTATAAATTTTAGTAAATACTCGATGATGATCTTGCGGTAAATATGCCACTCAAAATAGTAGTTTCTTAAGAAAGTTATGAAATGTAGTCATTGACAATTTCGTTCAGAGTACACGTTAATTTCTCATGGTATTCTTTATTTTAGTTCCATTTATAGCCAACTCATATAGTCATTTAAACTTGGAGCAGAGACTGCCCCCTCGCTTCTTAGCGGTGGATGTACATAGTTTGTGGGTAAACCTACAAACTCCAGTCAAATCCATCCAAACCGATCAAAAAATGGGTTTAAACGGATAAGTGGATCAATATAATTTTTGAAATTGAAAAATCATTCAGAATATATAGATTTCGGATAAACTCAAATTCAACTCAAAAAATTCACTCAATCACTCAATCAAAATTTGTCATTAACTATATATTTTTGTTTTTTTAGGTTTTAATGATTTGATATATGAAATAATATTTATATATTTTATCATTGAAATTTGATTGTAGATATCAATCTTGAAGTAAAGCCTTCTTTTTGAATTGTGAAAGATATTTGAATAATGTTTTTGACTTTTTTTTTTTTATAATTTGGTGAATGGTGATTTTGTTGTATTCACGTTTCTTTAATTTTGAATTTATATTTTGTGAGTCGTGGTTTTGAATATTTTATATTTTATGATACTATACTTTGATTATTTTAATATTAATATTAGGAAGTTCGATATTAGTATTAGTAAGTCTGGAATAGTTTATGTAATTTTAGTTTTATGTATTACCATAATATAATTTTGGTTTTTGCAAATATTTTTTATTATAAATTTTTATAGAATGTATAGACATTTGATTTTAAAAGAATAAACATTTGATGTTAAAAGAATAATGCATATATGATTAAACTTGTTTTCGAGAAAAATCTAGTTGAGGTATTTTTTGAAAAACAATTAGACACATCATTTATAATTGTATAAGAAAAAAATTGAGTGATCCACAGCTCAATTCAATCGAATCCACAAATTATAATTTTATCCAAACGATACAACATTGTGTGGGTGGTTATTTTATTTCATCAAATTTGATATCTATATATATATGAGGATTGAGTTTTGCTTTTAGTCAAATCTAACTCGAACTGACTCATATGTCTTTAGGTTTTCTAGGACGTACTTCGAGTTAAACATTAATCTAGACATCTTCATGAGATCGCCCCACACACCTTCTCTAACTTAAGTAGCTAATCAATCTGACGCCCTATTTTCTCCACCTTTAATACGTCCACCTCCAATCCATATTTATATTTTGCTGTTAAAATCGTATACCATCAACTATTTTGGGAAACAGGTAACCTCCATCACCATTTAGCTATCAATGCTAAGTTAAACTCCCTTATCCTCCACACCTTTAACCCATCAATGCTAAGTTAAACTCCGTTATCCTCCACACCCTTAACCCACTCACTTCTCTATCTAAACACACTATGTCCCGATTAATCTAATGAATTTTATGCGTACTCTCACAAAAGCCGTATGAGCCTCAGAAATAACATAAGAAATAACAATCCTCATGCAATTTGCTAAAAAAATCGGTCGAAAATCTCAATTTTTGGGGTTTATAATTTCTGAAATCTAGGCGATGAAGGTGCAGTTAGAGCCTTTCACCATGTATCGTTAGTGCCTTTCACCATTTAAACTGTGTTGTCTTCACTGAGATGTCTTCTGCTTGGTAGGTGCCATTAACAATCACTATGGTTGTCTTCACTGAGATGTCTTCTGCTTGGTAGGTGCCATTAACAATCACTATGGTTGCTGTGGTGAGTTTAGTCAAAATTGTGGCTAAAATGTCTTTTGCGGTCACGTTTTATCAGAAAGAATGATTTTCTTCCATGTTAAACAAATCAGACACTAAACAATCCGAAAGAAGGATTTTCTTCCCTGTTAAACAAATCAGACACTAAACAATGTTTAATGGAACTATTACAAATTTTTTTTTTACTTAGGTTGAAAAAGAGATTTTACTTCGATTTTATAAGCAAGGTAAAAAAGAGAGTCATAAAAATTCGTCACTTTTTCTTTCGGGTAAAGTTTCATTGATGGAAAAATTGTACTGGCCATGGGTTCGATCTCTAAAAATATTTTTAAAATTTTTAAAAATACATTACTTTTTTTTGGTTGGAAATAATATTTGAGGTAAAATAGTTTGTTTCCGTAATTTTTCTTTTAACCGGTTTAAAATCATTCATACTCATCTCAAAAAACTCAAATTGGTCATTTCCTTCACAATGTCAAACTGTTTTCTCTCATGCTCCTTAGATTTTTCATGGATATATAATACTTCCTCTGATTTTTATTATAAGTCGTTTTTAACTTTTAACACATTAAAAAATATAATAATTATTGTATGAAAAGGAGAAATTATGAAAGATTTTATAAAATTGTCTTTTATTAAAAATTAAAAAAAGAATAATAAATATTTAAGAATATAATAAAAAAATAACATTAATTATTTATTAGTATTATAAAACGATTTATAGTGTAATACTTATAATAAAAAAACGAAGGTAATATGCAGTAGTAAGTAGAACATACTAAAATAAAATGGAGTGAAATGGAATGGATGAAAATAATGTTAGGGTATTTTAACACGGAACATAATATTGTTTTCATTCCATTATTTGAAAATAGATGGAATAGAATGAGTTATACATTTCTTATTTTCTTTTGTTTCTATTTTAAATACACAAATATAAATATTATGTAAATTATAAGTTATCATTTTTTACTAATAAATATACAAAACACAAAATGTGTGACTCATTTCATTCCATCCATTTGTAAAGTTAAGGGGTGAGTTGTTAAATGATAATCCATCTAAATATTCTAAATTAATATTATATATAACTCATGAGAATAATGGGAAATTAAGATTTTCACCCCTTCATGAAGTTGAAAAATCATGTGTAATAGAGGTTCCAAAGAATAAATAATTCTCTAAAACAATTTTTAGATGGATTCATATTTAACAACTCGTTTTCATGTCATAAAATAATATTTTAATTTATATTTATATTATATTACCAAATCAATCAAATTTAATATAAGACAAATCTAATTGGGATTTTAACTTATCAAATCATTCCATTTTATCAACTCAATAGTCACCAAAGTGGGGTTTTATTACAAGACATAGGATGTCTAAAATCATATATTGTATCACTTGGCCAACCTGTTAAGTAATAGCCAAGATACTGTACCATACTAATGCATTGTTATGGAAATAACTGCTATATGTGCAGAAGATGGTGATGTATATTTATGGGGCTGGAAAGAATGCGTGCCTTCTGGAAGAGTTTTTACTGATCTCATCACTGCAGGGAGCCCCCAAAAGGATCTTGCTACGAAAAATAGTTCATCGGTAGCCGAGCAAGGTGCTGATCATTGATTATTACATAAAACGTAAATAATTTAACAAAGAAGGGAGTTCTCTGAGTTTATTTCGAGCAACTAACAGAATTTAAGATGCTAAACAGAAAGCCCCCAAAGCCCAAACACTAGTAGCGGATCTGACTCTCATCCCGACAACAAGGAAGTTGGAGAAGAAGCTGGAAAGCGAAGGAAGGTTTCATTTGCCAAACAGGAATCTGACAGTCAAGCTTCTGGAGATGATTTCTTTATTGTATCTCCTTCTCTTGTTACCATTGGCCAAGGAGTGAAAATTACCTCGGTAGCAGTTGGTGGGAGGCATACCTTGGCACTGTCAGGTAGATCGTTTTGTGTATGCCTGCACTAATTACAATGATATTCTAGGTCTAGTTGGCTCTTCCTTGTGGTTACATTATATAGTTTTGTAGGTTCTATGAAGTACGAAGATATGGAAGGTTTTTGATGAAAAGCGAGACACCTGATGCATCATATTTTAACCGAAGTTTTCAGATGTGGGACAGGTCTGGGGTTGGGGCTACGGAGGCGAAGGACAGCTAGGTATGGGTTCTCGAGTAAAGATGGTATCATCCCCTCATCTTATACCGTGTATTGAGTCTCATTCTGGGAAGGATAGGCCATCTTTTCACCAAGGAAGCAGTGCTGGAGTTCAAGGTCCTGGGAGTTATGTGGTGGAAATAGCATGTGGAGGTCGGCATAGCGCTGTGATAACAGGTCAGCATTTCACCGCTGTCATAAATTCATAATATGCAGTCTGCAAAAGCATCTCTGAATGTTTCTAATGTCGCATGATCTACTTGCCATATAAATCCATGTCACCAAAATGTCTATTCTTCATGTAGTTCAAAGATATGTGAGTTTAAGTAAGCATTCAATTAAAAAAATTCTAACCTTGTTTTTTAAATTGCTTTTGTAGATGCTGGAGCTCTTCTTACTTTTGGCTGGGGTCTGCATGGACAGGTGAGTCTCCGTAAAAATGCATTACTTTTCATTGCAAAAAGATGTGATGGAACTTAAACATGATGAAAAGACATTTTTATCATGTGTGCCTCTGTATAGGAGGAAGTAGTAATGTAAAGAGTAGCATGAAAAGTATAAATAACCAAGATTAAAGTTTGTTATGACTGTTATTACAGCATAAAAAAAGTGTCACATAGGTGGTAATACTACATACACATCTTTTATATTTTAACAGACAGGATGATAAATTTGTGTTTGCTTAGTTTAGATTTATGTTGATGCAAACACAGAAAAAATGTATTCCAATGTAATTTTAACCAAAGCAAGATATTGCTACTTTTTTCTGTCTCCTCCTGTTGGGAGTGCCTCAACACTAGACCAACAGATTGGAGTGATTCGCAAGAAATTTCTCTTGCATTTGTTATATATTAGATTACATGATCATAAGAATAGATTGGAAAAAGGCTTAACAAGATAGCTTCTTAGACAGATTAATGCTTACATTGTATTCCCTCGTCTCAAATTATAAGACGTTTTGACTATGAAGTTCCGACACACCATTCACACTATGTGGCGCCGTGTTAGACATGTGTCCGACACAGATACGTGTACGACACACGTATGTGACACATTTTTGAAGTGTCCAACACAAAAATAAATTTGAATCACAACGAACATGGATGTGACACTTTATTTCAAATAAACGACTCAACCCAATTCAAAAAATTTCAGAATTAAAAAAATAATAAAACAACTAAAATATTTTCAATTTTTAAAAAAAAAAAAATGAAGGGATATTTATCTTTCATATTCCACTTCTCCATTATAAAAACAATACAATTAAGATTCTTTATGTTTTCATCGAGCAGAAACTTTAGTGTAACCTTCCACTTCTATCAAGTGCTCGAAGCTTTAGTATATATACATAGTAACTTTTTATTTCTATCAATGAACACTTTCTAATATCATCAAGAGGAAATTAAAATGTGAGATGTAGCCGGAGACTAGTTTGGATCATTAGACAACAGTGAATTTCTTGAAGTTGTTCACTTGTCTTTGGATGAGTCAGGGTTAGAGGTTGGTTTTCTCAATGTGGAATCACTATGATATGATTTGTATCATTTTGTTTTGGTGGATTTATGTCTTTTTTCGTTGATTGAAAATATTAAGTTTAACTAAATATAAATTTTGCTTCTCATTTTAAATTCTTTATAAATTGTGCTCATAAATTGCATTATTATATTAATATGTAAAATATATATAGCCGTATCCGTGTTCTATGTTTTTTATATTAGCAGAGTCGTCGTGTCCGTATCGTGTCCCGTGTCTGTGTCCGAATTCAGGCTTCATAGCGTTTTGGACATTTCACGCGAATTAAGAAACGTAATTAATGTTGGGGTAATGCTAACTTGTGCCTTTGGGACACATGTTAAAAAACCCACAAATAGAATATATGTATGGAAAAAAACAATAAAAAGTCATTAATTATAAGACATTAATTATAAGACTGTGTTAAATTTATTACACAATTTTCAAAAATTATTTCTTATATTTATTTTTTAACTTGTGCCCTTGGGGCACAAGATAGCATTACTCTTAATGTTGTATGAGAACTTTACACTATCGTCTTTCATTTATTAAAGATTAAAGAGAAATTTAAAGAATTGGAAGAAGAAAAAGTAATAAATGATAGAGGATATATTGGAAAAAATATCATTAATGTTGTATTGGAATTGCAAAGTGACTTATAATTTAGAATAATTTTTTTTTTAAAAATGACTTATAGGAGCAAATAAGATAGAAATAGAAATAATTGTGATTCCAGAATAGGGGTTGAAATATTAGAATCCTACTTGGTAAATGACTCTATTACCTATTCATCAACTGAGTTGAGTTCTCAGGTAGGGAGGCCAACAGGTAGAGGTGGGTAGTATTCTAATCATGTCATGCTCTACCCCAAATATGACAGTCCTCACACTAATAATTGACATCTCAATCTAAAGGTTAGTCCTTTAGTTTTCAGCTATGTACCCATCAAAGAGCCCAAAAAAGACAAAGTAGGATGGCTTACCACTAATACTTCATTCATGAGATATGATAATACTTCGAGGCAGCCAAGTTTGTCAAGATCTCGATTTATATCTTAAAATCAAACAATTCTCCTATCCCATTCACACAACAATCCAGACCTGAAGCATAATGGTGTATTGTAGCAAGATCATGTAAGATCACTTCAAAATCGTAACCAAATTTAGAAAAAATTCTGACATTGTTGATACTGTGTAATCTTGGCCAGTTTCAACTATGGTTGGCCATTTTCGGACCACCATCATTACAAATCTAGAAGATACTAGTAAGAAAAAATAAAGGATGAGGATGATATGATACAGAGGCTCAACAATTATTATCCGGCGGCGGCGGTGACTGCACACTTTTGATATGCTTAAGTTTTTGATTTAGGGTTTAGAGAATAAACCAAGTAACGTGTCAAATATTTCCCTAGTGTGTAACAAATGTTTGCAGTGGTAAATGTAATAAGGTATAAAACGTCAATTTTACATGTCTGAAGAATATGAAAATGGTCATTTTTTCACGAATACACTTGTCCACTAAAATGGTAATAGGATCTTATGATTCTTGTTACGATCTTATATTTTGCAATCTTGCCACCCACTCCATCTCGATCTTACAAAAATAATTGATATATTTTTCACGATTTTACTACCCCCTCCTGATTTTATGCAAGATCTCGATTTTGACAATTTTAGAGGTAGAAATAACGGTAATTTACTGAAAGAGTGTAGCAAAATGTAAACATAATTCCTTTGTAGATAAATATATTTGAGATTCTTTTAAGTCTTCAGTAAACCCTAAAGGGCACGGTCTAAGGAACCTAAAATTTGTCTTGGAAATACAAATCAATCACTTTCACAAAGTAATAAATATATCATTTTCTATTCAAAAATGACATCTTCTAATTCCTCAAACAATCCCTTAAAGGTACTTGTTAGCATTTTCAATTTACTAATTAATACCAACCTGAGTGAAATGTGAATAGCTTACCTCCTCCTAATCTCACTTCTTTATTTTAGTTTAGTGTAGCAGATTACTTTTACTTTACAAAACTTGCTCAAATGGCAAAGATTTCGTAACTTATATAAGTAGCTTATCTGACATTTCCTTACCTTTTCACGAAATTTTCCTCCAGTGTGGGCAAGGGAATAATGCTGATCAGCTAAGACCAACTCTAGTTCCTTCTTTATTGGGAGCTAGAGTGAAAAAAATCGCTGCTGGACTCTGGCATACATTGTGTGTTACAGTAAATGGTCAAATTTATGCTTTTGGTGGGAATCAATTTGGACAATTAGGTACTGGCAATGATCAGCCTGAGGTATGTATGTTTAATTTGCTCATTTATCTGAATCATTTTGTTTTTTCTAGAACAATGTTAACAGAGAAATGCTTTTTCACCATTTTAAACACAATGGAGGGTTCTATAGAACCTGTTACTTTAGTTCGCGATTTTATAAAAACTAACTGTATTAAGTATTCTATGATTTTAAGGTTTTGTATGTAAGATGAGCTGTTTTGTAAATTGTTTTTGTAAGATGAAATTGTAGGAAACAGATTTACTATTGGCATAGATCACTTTAATACATGTAACTAATGCTTAGGCTAAAGGTCCAACCCTATTCAGTTTGGAAAGATCTTGAAGTTTAACATTTATGATATAAAAGAGTTAACCTTGTCAGCTTTGAACACAAGGGTACTCGAAAGGAGCACTCTCTTTTTTTCACGCCAGATAATTCTTTAGCCACCGTTAAATTGTTCAAAGATATCTTTCCACTCTAATAATTGAGGTCTATTTAAAGACTTTCAAAGAATAACCAAAATAACAACTCTTAACAATCTAACAAATTTATATTCAAAGCATCTTTCTCTATTTAAATTTTATTATTCTGTATTTTATGTCTTTAAATTATTAAGTATGATGGTCTCTTTAATTTTATTTATTTTTTTAATTTTATTTTAGAATATTTATGTTTACTTTATATGCTAATGTTGAGTCTTTGCAAACTCGCCACATGTCATTTGCTTATAGTTTAAATTTGAACAGTACTAAGGTAGTCAATCTCAGATAGTGGTTGGAATGGGATAGCAGGATAGCGTTTGATCATATTTTAGACAAATTACATGATTATTATAAACACGTTTAATGTAAAATTAAACAAATAATTAAACTCAAAAGATTCATAAATCAGAGCACATAGCTGCAAAAAAGGGAAACAGGAACAATATTGTGAATAGAAGAAAAATAGAGAAGAAAAAGAAAAACAGAGGTGATGGATACAAAGAAAGAAACACATAAGAAAAAAAGAATAAGTTTGACCAACCTAAAGAAAGAAACTGAGAAGAAGAAAAAACACGACCAGAAGAAAAAAGAAACTATGAATGTAAAATGAACGACTGCATAATGAAGAGCAGAAGGAGAAATGTCAACTACTGTGGCTGAAGAATGAATTGTAGAGAGGAGAAAAATGTTACACATGATTTGTAAGCTGGAACTCTCTTAAGAAAAAAACAAAGTGTAGAAATGATGGATGAAGGAAGGTTAGGGTTGAAGAGAAATTCAAATTTTGGGAAAATTTAAAAATATTTTTAAAATTGGGGTTGGGCCTAATTCATTCCTACAAAGCTGGTATGTAAGGTGAGGATTGTCTCTTTTTATATACAACACATGCCATATCTTTAAATAATGTGAGATTAAATCCACCTTTTCAAACTCAACACAATGAAGGTGTTGCGGGCTCGCTACTATATTCTGCATCGCAAAGGCTTTTGTCATAGTGGCCAGCCTCTGTACCTCTCTACTCTGCTATCCAGCTATTGGCCACTATCCCACCATTGGCCACTATTGACTACTCTAAACTTTACATGTTTGTATTCGCAAATTTGCTGTGAGATTAGAAGAGTTATGGCTAGCTTCTGTCACCTATGTAAAACCTACACTTTAGAGCTTCTAGAAAATTGTGATGCTACCGTGATTTTGCCAAATGCCAAACTCACTGCTCATCCAAAACATACACTCATGACTCAATACATAGTAGAACTAAAAAGCAGAGGTCCATGAACAAATAAAATAACTGCACCCAAATTAGAAGATATATAATGTAAACCTTTAAAAAATTTATTTTGAGGATAAAGACAAACTTCTTAACTATAAAACTTAGGTTTTCATCGACCGCTTAGGCTATAATTGGATTGATGGAATGAAATGAAATAAATTGGATTGATGGGATGAAATGAAATAAGGTACGTTCTATAATTTGGATTGGTAAAACAAGAATAGAATGAAGTTGAACATGATAGAATGCATTCCATTCAACTCTATTACTTATCCTCACTTTTGTTTTTTCCAATTTGGAAAGAATACCATTTTTGTTACATTGCATCTTAAAATATTGACAATAGAATGAGATGTTCATTCCATTTTGCTTTGTTCCATTTCGCTCGTTCGTGTGAAAATGTTCCAGACATTGTCTCAGGTTTTCATCAAACACTTAAATTTGTTTGAGAGTTTGGATATAATAGATTTGGAGAATTTATGTAAGCTTTTCAAATGCTCCTTTTAATATAATTTTAAAAAATTAGAGATTTTGTATTAGGAAAGAATTATTTTTTTTTTCAAATTTCTCCACTTAAATATTTAAAATTTTTAGAACACTACCTAAATCTCTCAATTCCTTTCTCTACATATTTATTTAGTTTTTACTTCTAAATTTTTCAAAAAAATCTTTAAAATACACACTTTAGCATCACTATTTTTTTATCACTGGAGAGTCAGGTTACTAACACTGTGAAAATAAAGTCTTTTGTGTTTAGGGAAAATGTGTGGAAATATTAGAGGCTTGAATAGAAATTTGATAAATAAGATGAAAGAAAGAACTTTGTATTTTGTTTGATGCAAAAATGTAGAATTACATCTCTATTTATAATACTCTAAAGAGAACTCTAGATACACTCATTCTAGAGAGTTCTTAACTCTAGAAATTCCAATAGCATTCTAGAAATATTACAAACTTAGAAATATTGATTAAAACTAACTAAACCCAAAAATTCAAAACATTAATATTAAGGTTAGGCCCAAATCAAGTTTAGTATTTCAACATCCCCTTAAACTTGATTTGTGACTCCAAGCATACTCTTTAACTTCACGAAAATTTTCAACTTGAGTGGCTTAGTGAAAATGAGTGGCTTGGTGAAAATGTCGGTAACTTAAACACCATGACTATTGAGCAATTTATTGGTTTCTTACAAGCATACGAAGAAAAACAAAACAAAAAAAACTATGGAGCAACTACTACAACTCAACGCAAATGAAACAAAATATGCGAATTACAAGAGACAAAAAGGACGAGGTCGTGGCCAAGATCGTGGACGTGGACAAGGATAATACACGTCCACGATCTTGTCACGACCTCGTCCTCTTTGCCTCTTGTAATTCGCATAGTTTGCTTCCTTTGCGTTGAGTTGTAGTAGTTGCTTCATAGTCTCCTTTTGTTTAGTTTTTCTCTTTTGTTTTTCTTATGCTGGTAAGGAACCTATAAGTTGCTCAATAGTCATGGTCTTTAAATCCTTGTTTTCTTCAATGTTGGTTACAATGAAGTCAAAACTTAGATTTAAAGTGCTAAGTATTTTCTCCATGACTTTCACCTCATCAACATCTTCGCCATTTCTTTTAAGTTGATTGACTACGGACAATACTCGAGAAAAATAATCAGAAATTGACTCAGACTCTTCCATAAATAAACGTTCAAACTCACCTCTAAGAATTTGAAGACTAATCTTTGGCCGTCGTATCCACCGATTGATAAATGAGGAAGAGAGCTTTTTTGTCTCTCTTTCTTGACTCCTTTAATGTCTCCTTAACACCATGACTTAGTGAGGCTTCATCTTGCTCCTTGAAGATGAAGCCTTTTTCAACGATATCTCACACATCTTGAGCTCCTAGTAGCGTCTTCATCTTGATATTCCAATTGTCATAGTTGTTCTTTATAAGTATCACCATTTGAAAAGGGAAACCTCTATTAGCCATCTTTTGAGGACCTTCAAGTTCGGATGCCACTTTGTTGGAAATAAAGTGTGTTGTGTTTTGGGAAAGTGCGTGAGAATATTAGAGGCTTGAATAGAAACTTGATAGATAGGAGAATTATTTATGGAAGAGAGAATTTTGTATTTTGCTTGATGTAAAAATGTAGAATTAAATCTCTATTTATAATACTCTACGGAAAATTCTAGATACACTAATTCTAGAGAGTTCTATACTCTAGAAATTCCAAGCATTTTAAAAAACATTACAAACCTAAAAAATATCTAGAAAAATGTAGAATTAAATCTCTATTTATAATACTCTACGGAGAACTCTAGATACATTAATTCTAGAGAGTTCTATACTCTAGAAATTACTAGAGCATTTTAAAAAATATTACATACCTAAAAAATATCTAGACACTCTAAACATTACAAGAGTTTTTTAGAAACATTATTCAAAATTACATAAGCTCAAAATAACAAAGCGTAAAAATTCAAATTATATGTTTAGACCTAAATCAAGTTTAATCTTCCAACAAGCACCACTAACACTAACCTAAAATATTAAAGGTAGCAAAGCTCCGGAGTTCTAAGACTTTGCATGGATGAAACAAGAATAATTGAGAGTAGAAACTCACCTTAGTGCATATGGGGTGCAAGTATTTGATACCAAAATGGTGGAGTTAGGGCACATCTGCTTTATTTAGTACTTTCGAAAAATAGTGTTTCAATTGCTTTTTTATTTACCTTTTGTGAATCACATTTATAAAAAGAGAGTAATGTAAATCCCAATTTTGTCCCTCCAGTTTTATTACGATGCTCCACTACCTAATTGAAATAAGATAAAGTGCTTGACTACAGTTAGGTGATCAGGTTCGAACATGTAAAAGTTAAATAGTCACACAAATTTGACAAAAATGCCATTTGTATAAGGTGAAAAATAAATGAGTATATCTTTAATCAGTACAACTCATGAAAAATAAGGCAGCTTTGAATTAAGATCCATGACTTAACCGACAAGAAAATTATCAATGACTCATTAGTCTTTCAATTAAGATCCATGACTTAACCGCTTAAGGTCATGTGTTGGAGTTTAGAAGGAAAGCCAAGGGTTTTGGATAAGAGGAAGGAATATAGCAATGTCAATCGGGCAGCGTAGGGGATGCATCTCCGTCTTTGAATCTATTCTCCATTTTTGTCTCATATCCCTGTCACAGGAGGATTTTATCTTCCATCTATATGGATTCCCATGATTGCGGATCCCCACAATTTTTGGGGATTTCAAAAATTAAAAGAAAA